CACAAGACTCCGCAGCTTAGAGGGGGCATTGCTCACAGGGTGTCTGTTGTGGGGAGGGGAAGGGAAAGGAGTTTGTAAGCCGCTCTGAGACTCCTTTGGGTAGTGAAGGGCAGGGTATAAATCCAATCTCTTCCTCCTCCTCCTCCTCCTCTTCTCCGTGTTGGTGACCCTCCTGAGGAACCGGTTGACCACTGTTTGAGACAGGATGCTGGCCTAGATGGACTTTTGATTTGATCCAGCAGGACTCTCCTTGTGTTCTTAGGAAGACTTCGGCCTCTGTGCCCTGTGGTTGGTCCTCTAGAGGAACTGGTTGGTCACAGTGTGGGACAGGAGGCTGGACTAGATGGACCGCTCGTGTACAGGATTAAGCCCCTCACGCCAGTCCAGGGGTGAGAGGTAATCCTGTACTTTTGCAGTACATTAAACAACAACCCAAGAGGTAGTCTATACCCTCTCTGGTTTTCAGAACCATATGCTACCAGAACCTCTTTTAACTAGAGTCCCCTCCAGCTCAGAGCAGAGATTCAAAACTCTCAGCTGGTATCTAGGGCTTAACACATTAGTAACTCTACTCAGAGCTGCACACTTTACGCTTAATGGTAGCTTGTGGTCAGCTTAGGCGCAGGAGTTTAGACTTGGAACTCAGGTACAACATCAGAGACCATTTAACAATCAGAATAATTTTTATTTAGTACAGAGCTTAACACAGACTACCAGAGTTTACCAAAATAACAAGCCTAAGGCGATTTGCCTTAACTACACAGTGAAAGATACATATTTACCAAGTTCAGGAACATCCAAACAGTTCAAGATTGTCCATTGTGATAATCCAGTTAGCACCAAGGGATTTTGAGTAGGAATCCCATCTTGTGCAAGCATGCATCCAGTTCACAAAGCATGACCCCAAACTCCAGCTTCTCCATTGCCGATGTGACTTTTTCCATGTGAGGCAGAACCAGGCGCCATCAGGTCTGCCTCTTCCCTTAGAGGTGTGAAAGAATTTGTGGTTATATGGCATGGTTATAAAGTTTCTCTGGCCAAATGGTCGGCCATTTGGCCTGCGAGAGGAAATAAGACACAGCATGTTATCAGAATGTAATCACAGGAGAAGGCATGGATTATAGAAAGCAGAAAGCAAAATTTCTATACAACTCGTCAGATCCTGCAGGGCTCTTTTTATGTTCTTAAGAGGGGAAGGCTTTTACCTCTATGCTCTGTTGTTGGCTGTCCAGACTAACTGGTTGGCCACTGTGTGGGACAGGATGCTGGACTAGATGGACTTTGGTCTGATCCAGCAGGCCTCTTCTTAAGTTCTTATATGTTCTTATTTGTTGCATTTTGGGCCTGGTGGGAACACTAAAGAAGATGGTACAGTCAATTGCTAGAAGAGGTAACAGTGGAGATACTGCACGGTTCTTTTGACATCGCTTCCCATTTAATTTGCAGACGATTAACAGAATCATGTACCCCACAATAACACCCTGACACAGACACAAAGTACCGGCATCAAGTGTTATTGTGGCAATCAAAGCCAAATGCTCGAAGTTACCTTCAGATTTCAAGCCATTCATTCCCTTGGCTGACTGCTCCGCTAAGGGGCGTGCAGTGAGCCAGTCTGACTGAGAAGAGCACGTAGCTTTTCCTTCTGGTCAGCTGCTGCTTGTTGTGTAGACAAAGGGGTAATGTTGGCTGGCCCAACGTTTGTAAAAGGAAGGTCTGATACCTGTGGTTTAAAAATACAACAGGGCAGGGTTCAGACGCTTGCCCTGGTGGGTTAAGCCCCGGAGAGGAAGCCACCCCTCTCGCCTTGCTGGTGCTCTGTCTGTGCTGTTGCAATCTTGAGTATGCTGTTCAGGTGTGTATCTGTAAGCTGCAAACCTACGATGACGCCGCAGCAGCAGAACTGGAAGAAGAAGCAGAAGACAGAAGAAGTTCCACTGCGGGGCCTGATAGAAGCCCTCCGGGGGGCCTGATGTGGCCCCCGGGCCGCATGTTTGACACCCCAGTGCTAAATAATCCACTTTCGGTGCACTTTCCAACTGGATTTTTACTGTATGAACTGGCAAGATCCAGTTGGAAGATGCATTGAAAGTGGACTGAAAGTGGATTATTTGGTGTGTGTGACCGCAGCCTAAGAAGTCTATTTCAGGAAACATTCTCCTGTGAGGCAAATCAGTAGTCCAGGTGGGGCAGGGCGCCCTCTAACCCCAGTGCATTTATGGCTCTGAGATGTACATGCCTGGCAGTGAACCCGCAAGTGCCTGAAGGTTGCTTAACAGGACTGTACAACTTCGAAGTTACCTCAGGTTCTCCCTTTTTTTTGTGGCGCAAAGGCTTTTGATAAGGCGACCTTTGCTTTCCCCGGAACGCTAAAAGCGCCACCGTGTCGACTTGCCTCAGGCACTGAACTAATTTTGCAGAACTTCGAAGTCCTGCTTGCTGGGAGCTCTTGGGTGACGGCGGGAGGCAAGCCGGCTTTGGGACCAGACGTCGCTCCTGCGCTGTTCCAACTGCTCTTACTTGAAGCGAGAGAAGAAAATTTGACACTGGAGCAAATCCTTTGGGAGCCTTTCTCAGTGGCCAGGGACGACCCTCTTCTGACGGAGTCTGTGGGGGCAAGCCGCTTTTTCATCAGGAGGCTGAACTGCCTTTTCTCTTCGTTGAGTTGCCTCAGCCGGGTCAGCTTCTGGTGTTCCAGTTTCTTCACTGTCTGGGG